GTTGGCATTGAGACAGGTATCTCTCGTCAGAACTGTTACTTGGATATGATATGAGATTTCTGGATATGATAAAACCTGAGAGACAATCTCTTAACCTTTATCTAGACATCCTCATGCAGAACAAATAACATCCTAGAAAAAGGACTGTGACAGAGCGCTGAGAACCAGCAGCTGAACCTGCGCTCTGGTCACTGCAAATCGAATTAGTTCCCCTGGAGAGGGCCTGACTGAGGGAAGGAGTGGCTAATTACTAGGTCAACCTGGGCCGGGGAGCACTAAGGAGCTAATTAGCCCATTAACTGCAAGAGTAGAAAAGGAGCACAGGGAGGAAGTGTAAGTGACCTGGAGACTATACAGTATATTTTTGGCTGACTAAAATCAAGGGAAAGCTAGATGAAATTGCTATAAAGTGGGTGCACAACTGGTTGAAAAACCATTCTCAGCAGTTATCAATAGTTCACTGTCAAACTGGAAGGAGGACATATCTACTGGGATCGCACAGGAGTCTATCCTGGGTCCAGCACTAGTTAATATTTTTACTAATGACTAATGATATGGAGTGGAGAGTATGCTTATAAAATCTGCAGATGACACCAAGCTGGGAGAGGTTGCAACTCCTTTGAAGGACAGGATTAGAATTCAAAATGACCTTAACATATTGGAGATTTGGTCTGAAATCAACAAGATGAAATTCAATCAAGTGCAAAGTACTTCACGTAGGAAGTAAAAATTCAGTGCACAAATACAAAATGGGTAACAACTAGCTAGGTGGTAGTACTGCTGAAAAGGATCTTGGGGGTATACTGGATCACAAACTGAATATGAGCCAACAATGTGATGCAGTGCAAAACAAGGCAAATATGAATTTGGGATGTATTAACAGGAGTGTTGTATGTAAGAAACAAGATAATTGTCCCATTCTACTTGGCACTGATGAGGCCTCTGCTAGAGTAATGTGTCCAGTTTTGGGTGGATGTGGACAAAGTGGAAAGAGTCCAGAGAAGAGCTACAAAAATGATAAAAGGTTTAGAAAACTTGACCTATGAGGAAAGGTTTAAAAAGCACACAAAACACATTAAAGGCTGTTATAAAGAGGGCAGTGATCAATTATTCTCCACATCTACCAAAGGATAAGAAGTAATCCCCATAGTCTGTAGCAAGGTAGATTTAGAGTTTTTTCCTAATAACTAACATAACTATAAGGATAGTTAAGTACTGGAATAGGGGTCCCAAGGGAAGTTGTGGAATCCCTATCACTGGAAGTTTTTAAAAACAGGTTAGAAAAACACCTGTCAGGGACAGTCTAGGTATGCTTGGTCCTCAGCATGGGGAGGGGAGGGAAGGACTACATGACCTCTTGAGGTCTCTTCCAGCCCTTGAGTTCCTATCCTGCCAATCCCCTACCAATGCTGTACTTTGTGAACTGATTTTCCTACAATACGTATTGATGAAATACACAGATGAGATGCTAGGTCAATAGTGCAATAATTAACTGCAGAAGAGACATGTGCAATTTAATGCTTTCCTCTGATTGTTCAGGGATCAATATGAACAACAAATCATTCGGGGTCATTGATGGCCTAGAGCAGTTTCCTAATGTAACAGGCTCCTCACACTTCATCTACGTTATTCATTACATCTGTTAGACGTAGGGTGACCAGATAGCAACTGTAAAAAAACAGGACAGGGGGTGGGGGGCAATAGGCACCTATATAAGAAACAATCCCAAAAAAACGGGACTGTCCCTTTAAAAACAGTACATCTGGTCACCCTAGTTAGATGGGGACTAAATGTTTGTTCTGATTAAGGCATACATGGCACATCAACAGCTACAATGATTCACACTGTGAAATCATGAAATAGTGGCACACTAGAATCTCACTCCTATGGTCTCATGAGTGTTTAAATCATTTGTGCTACATTGTTTTTTTGACAATCATTGAGGAGATCTATCTAAAATATATTCGAATTGGAAAAAGCACAGAGAAGGCCAACAAAAATGATTAGGGTATGGAAGAGCTTCCATATGAGGAGAGATTAACAAGAGTGGGATTGTTTAATTTGAAAAGAGACAACTAAGGGGAGATAAGAGAGAGGTCTATAAAATCATGAATGGTGTGGAGAAAGTGAATAAGGTGGTGTTATTTACCCATTTACATAACACAAGAACTATGGGTCACCTGATGAAATGAACAGACAACAAATTTAAAACAAACATAAGGAAGTACTTCTTCACATAACACACAGTCAACCTCTGGAAATCATTGCCAGGAGATGTGAAGGGCAAAAGTATAACTGGGTTCAAGGAAGAATTAGATAAGTTAATGGAGAATAGGTCCATCAATGGCAATTAGCCAAAATGGTCAGAGTGTCCTTGTCCGGGTGTCCCTAGGATTCTGACTGCCAGAAGCTGGGACTGGATGACAGGGAATGGGTCACTTGAAAATTGCCCTGTTCTGTTCCTTCCTTTTGAAGGACCTGGCCGTGGCCACTGTCAGAAGACAGGATACTGGGCTAGATGGAAAAAGGAAAGAGCTTTGAAATCCTGGGATAAAATATATTGTAAATACAAAATTACTACTACTGCTAAACTACTACTAATTTTTAAGCTAACTCCAGCTGTCTGAAACACTTAACTATAAAAGCCCCACCATCCTGCTAAATTAAGAGTCATTTACTCCCATGGAAGTATGCATTACAGGAGCTGCAAAACCCACAACAGATTATTTATTCACTGCTACTATGCACATTCCCTCAGAAAAAGGTGTAACATCCCTTGTATCAAATCCTTCACAAGTTTTAACGCTTCCTTTTAATTTTTAAAGTATCACCTAGAAATATAGACTTTTTTTTTTAAAGTTAGCAGCCATCTGATAATGTAAAACAAAGAAACATACAACCCACAACAAAAGTTTCAACCCTATATTCTTCGTAAAATTAACCAATAAACCTAATGCATAGGGCTATCAATTCTGCATCTTCATGAATTTTGCTGCCTTGCAACAAAACAATACATCTCAGTATGAAAGGAACCTCAATGGTTCTATGCTAGACAAGTATTAAACTAAATATGTTTTCACTAAAATATGCTCAGATTTTCTGCCCAATGAAATGTCTGTTTGGTGGCTCTTTGCAACATATAAAACTGTATAATGTAAGAAACGGTTACTTTTGCTCCCCCCATCCTTGCAAATTTAAATCCCAACGACATTCTATTTCATCACATCCTCTTTTTTCTTTCCACTAAAACATCAGCTATCATTAACCAGATCTTGGCATTGTGGAAACATCAATTTTTATTTGCAATGCACCTCTGCTACTCTCATTCAGAGTGACCTTTTAGGTAAGGAAACTGCTAAACACTGTACAATGGTTTCATCAGGTAAAGCACTTTCTAGGTGAAAGCTGAGACACCTCATTTCACTTGTAAACCACATTCAGAGATGATGGGATAGCAC